CCGTCCTGTCCCCGAGGCGCCAGCAGATTTCGGGTGACGTCCTCGCGCAGGGTGACCTGCAGCCGCTCCTGGCACACCTGGACCACGAACCCCCCCTCGGCGGTGGCCCCGGGGACGGCCCCATCCCTGTCCCCCTGCCCGCGTCGGGACGCGGGGGTCCCCGGGGTCACCGCCGCCCCGGTGGTGCCACCGCCACCGCCCCCTGCCGCGGGGGACGGTGACGTCTCCGTCTCGTAGCCGCTGTCCCCGGGGCGCTGGCCCGGCGAGGACGGGGACGCCCTTGGGGACGGGGACGCCTCGGGGGGTCCCTTTGGGGATGGCTCCCCCGGGGGTTTGGCTGGGGACCCTCTTGGGGACGTCGTCTGGGTCCCCTGTGGGGACGTCTCTTGGCACCTCCTTGGGGACGCCTTCGGGGACGTTTCTTGGCGTTTCCTTGGGGACATCTCTTGGCGTCTCCTCGGGGACGTCTCTTGGCATCTCCTTGGGGACATCTCTTGGCATCTCCTTGGGGACGTCTTTGGGCATCTCCTTGGGGACGCCTTTGGGGACATCTCTTGGCATCTCCTTGGGGACGCCTTTGGGGACATCTCTTGGCATCTCCTTGGGGACATCTCTTGGCATCTCCTTGGGGACGCCTTTGGGGACATCTCTTGGCGTTTCCTTGGGGACATCTCTTGGCGTCTCCTTGGGGACCCCCTGGAGGCCATCTCTTGGTTTTTCCTTGGGGACATCTCTTGGCATCTCTTTGGGGACGCCTTTGGGGACATCTCTGAACATCTCCTTGGGGAACCCCTCGAGGACATCTCTTGGCATCTCCTCGGGGACCCTTTTGGGGACATCTCTTGGCATCTCCTCGGGGACGCCTTCGGGGACCTGGGGGGCCCCTTGCCCGGGGACCCCGCTGGGGACTTTGCCGAGCACCTCCTTGGGGACCCCTTGGGGACCTTCTCCAGGGGCGCCTTTGGGGACATCTCCGGGCACCTCCTTGGGGACCCTTTTGGGGACCTCTTGGGACACTTCTCCGGGGACCTCTTGGGACAGCGCTGCGGGTCCCCATCTGGGCACCGCCCCGAGGAGGCCATTGGGCAGCTCCGAGGGGGCGTCGTCTCTTGGCACCTCTCCGGGGACCCCTTTGGGGACGTCCCTGGGGCCCCCTTTGGGGACATCTCTTGGCATCTCCTTGGGGACCCCTTTGGGGACGTCCCTGGGGCCCGCTTTGGGGACATCTCTGGAGACCCCTTCGGGGACGTCCCTTGGCGCCCCTCTGCCCCCCCCTTTGGGGACACCTCTGGAGACCCCTTTGGGGACGTCCCGTGGCACCTCCCCGCGCCCCCCCTTGGGGTGCCGCCCTGGGTGGCCCCGGCCGGCCGGGGGGTGACCGCGGGGGTGTCCCCGAGGGGGTCCCCGAGAACCCCGGCCACCAGGGCCACCTTCTCCTCCTCGGGACCCTCGGCCAGCGCGGCCAGTGGTGGCACGGCCACGGCCACGGGGACGCCGGCGCCCGGGAAGGGGGACCCTGGCGGGGGTCCCCAAGGACCCCCCTGGGGAAAACCCTCCCTCGGGGACGTCCCTGGCGCCCCGGGCGCTGTCCCTTGTGTCCACGGGGACGTCCCCGGTGCCCCGGGTGCCATCGCATCTGTCCAACGTGCCCCTGGCGCCGTCACGTCTGTCCAAGGGGACGTCCCTGGTGACGAAGGGGACATCTCTTGTGACAAAGGGGACGCCTCTCGTGTCCACGGGGACGTCTCTGGGGCCAAAGGGGACGTCCCTTGTGCCCCAGGTGCCATCTCTCCTGGGGTAGCTGCCGTCTCTCGTGTCCACGGGGACATCTCTGGTGCCACAGGGGACGTCCCCTGTCCCCCGGGCACCGTCTCTCGTGCCAAAGGGGACATTTCGTACGCCCAAGGGGACGTCCCTTGTGCCCCGGGGGACATCTCTC